ACAAACTAATCTCTAAATTGCTCTATAAAATCTCCCAAATTAAAATACCCATTCGGTGCATCTCCCAGCCTATCTCGATGTTGCCTTCGCTACCTTTCTTTTGCTTCTCCATCAAACACAAATGGAGCTAGGGCACCTTCCTCTCATATGGGCAAGACATACTATATACAATCTTCTCTATTTTCATAAGCAATTTTTAGCTTTTAGTGACCCTTTATTTTCTTTAAACTGCGGTGATTGTAAATCCTATAACATCATATATTTATCTATGGAGAATGTTCCATGATTTCCATTAAACTAAGTTCTAGAGTCTTGGATAAGCTGGGTCATAACTGTCATCATCTGAGTTAGGAAATTTGTACTCACAGTGACATTGGGTTGTAATTTCTCTCCCATCAACTGAGCATCCTTAATCTCCCCTTGAGCATCAATGTCTGAGATAAAAATATAAGGTTATCTAGTTAGATTTAACTCGACTCAAATTAGGTAGATCACTAAAGATTAAAATTCACAATTACAATCTTTCATTAAGGTACATGTTACTTAAACTAAACTCCTTTCTCTGATAACACTTTATCATAAACCAGCTCGGGGCTTCGAATTAACCAAAGCAGAAACAAACGGTTCGCCGGTGAAATTAAATTTTAAATTATTCTATTTTTATCACTAACAGTTTAATATCCAATCATTAATTGAAAGTGCTAATAAAGAAAGTATTTTAATTAACAAAAAAAATTTCACCTTCTCGTTTGCTAATCTCGCTTACTATACATATTAGTTCATCTAATACTGATCTTATTCAAAATCTCAAAATCTAAAAAAATTAAAACAATATAATGAGTTATCTAAGACAACCCAAAGTAACAATCACACTTCAAAACTACATCAACCCAAGAAAAAGAAAGCAATGTGCATACCAGTTTTTCATATTTCACTAAAAAAATCATATAATAATCTCATATATGTATCCATGACATTTATTCAATGAAAATACCTTGAACATCAATATGCATTAACTTTAACTTTACTTTTCAAGATAATCTTTTAATTCTTATTCAATATGCATTAACTTTACTTTTCAAGATAATCTTTTAATTCTTAAAATGCTCTATACTCTTAACTTTCACATGCTTCTAAGGAGAACCATCAAACATCCTAACAGACCTCCGATCGATATTACCTCGTTGTTATAGTCGTTTGTCATTTAAATTACACAATTGTCTGAAGCGAAAAGGTGCCTACTAGCCCACAAACAATATTTTCTCACCAGCACAGCGGTTAGAAAATATCTAGGGTGGTAGGAAAATATCTATGAGCGCAGATACATTGGCGTCCCATGCTTGTATCATAATGACATACATTCTTCTCTTATGAGACACTTTACATTTATTCACTAATAAATAATTGCACTATTTCTAAATCTATGTATAATGAAATAAACTGACATATGCACCTATAATAGAATTTACATGTCAGGTAGTAATGTGACATCTTAGGAAAATTATAATACAGTTGTTTATACATAAATGCTAACAGACATTCTTATACAGAACACTATAAAAAGTCAATTGTAACCTAAACTTCAATGATATATAATATAAAGTGTGAAAAATTTATATAAAAAAATATATCTAGAAATAAGAAATGTTGATGTAATTCAAAAACAAAATTACTCACCTCAAGCCTTACACATTTTTACTCCTATCAATCTTCCAATTTAATAACTTGAACTTGGCAAAATTTGATATTATTTAGTAAAACTTACTATTCACATTTATCAATCTCAATTAACATTAATTTAACAATTCAAAATAACTTACATAAAAATAACTTACATAAAATTTAACAATTCAAAATAACTTACATAAACAACTTCAAACACATTCATTACCTTTTATCCCCTTCTTGCAAAAATTCATGATCCAAAGCCCTAATCCCTCAAATCAAAATTTATTTAATCATTGATTTCAATTAGCATAATTTCATATGAATGACATGAATGTTTAAGTAAAATTTCTATTTAAAGCAACCGCTTATAAATTAAATAGGAAACCCATAGCCTGATTAATGTTGCTAATTCTTCTTGTTTTCCGATCTGAATATCTTCCACCTCAAGCTTATGACATTATTAAGCAATAACATTTATTATAATACTTAAATCATTATTTATTTGATTTTAATTAACTTTTACTTTTTATACTGCAGTTTCTGTCTTTTCCCTTCAATCTCAATCGTTCCTCAATTTAAAATTTTCAATTTTAGCAAAACTTAATATTAACATCTGATACACAGTTAAACTAACTAATGATTCTTAAAAAAAAAGAAACACGATAAAGCCTGCCTTACCAACATCATTCAATTCGGCTCACTCCCCATCCTGCTCAAACCAGTGACACAAACACATGTCACGAAATGACTCCCGCACAAGAGCAATCTCACGCTTGATTTAGCTTATCTGCTCGTGTCTTTTACATAAAGTAATTCCCTTCTCCGCACAAGAGATGTTCGATACACCCTCTTCTCCACACAAAAGCTTCTTTCTGCATGCATGAGATAGTTCTGTGGTTCTCCCTCACCTCCTTCTTCGTGCGATAAACAAGTGGTGCGCCTCATTGCCCTTCTACTTCTCTTCCATCTTGCACATTAAGTTCCCACAAAGCCACCTCCCTTCTTCCTCTTCGCGTGAGAAGTTCCCCCCGCTCATAGCGTTGTTTGCACAACAGCAATGCATGCAAGGCATCTTCCCTTATGATACTCACTTCTGCTCGAAGCCCCCTCTTCCCGCATGTGATTCACTCCTAGATCTTCCTCCTCCCTCAAGTGAAGAAATCTCATGCTCCACTCCCTTGGTTCTTCCCCTGTTCCTTTTGAATGCGAGCGATCCTTCTGCAATTGATGTTGCACCGCTTACCCTCACGACAACACCAGTCGATCTTCTTCCATTCTCCTATGCAAAAAATGCTCTCGACACTGACTTCTCGCAAGCTGCATATCGGCTAAGGTTTGCCCTGCTATTTCCTCTTCTTTGAGTCCCATTCTCGTTCCTCGCTGGAAAAATTATATTGGAACTGCGGGCGGAGATTATTGGAGTGGAACCGCGGATGTTATTTGGAGGTTATTGAAAAGTTATTGGGGTATTAACTCCAATAACGCTGTAATAATCCCTCAATAACCCCCAAATCTGCGATTCCACTCCAATAACCGCCCGCAATAACCCCCACGGTTCCACTTCAATAACCCCCGCAATAACCTCCGTGGTTCCACTTCAATAGCCCCCCATAATCTCTGCGATGTAGCACACGTGGCGGCATATTACTAGAGTACGCACGTAGAGCTACTTCCGGAGTCCAAACAAAAAATTTTCTCTCTTCCAAGTGAGATGGTTGTCACTTTAGAAGTAATCGTGAGAAGTTTGGTTTCTAAATAATTTATTTTACTTTATTTATTTTTTAGTTATTATGGTCCCGCTCCAACGTCACAGTGTTTCAAAATTAAGTTGGGTTTGGACTAGTAAAATGTAATAAACCTTATTTTCAACTCCAACTCTCCTTCACTCAACCAATTCATGCAGTTGTGAATCATCTTGACACTTGCATGAAGTGTCCAAGCATATATTTATCACAATGCATACCAATTTAAAAAGAAATCTTATTTAGATACCTGAAAAAGGAGATTTTAATAATAATCATATATGTCAAAACACATTATACAAAAAATAAGAGAAATGGTTACACCATTTTTACCTATTCTTTTAACAGTTCTAATCAAGTACCATGATCATTTCCATACCTATTAAGGTTCAGACAAATCCATTTTTTTGTGGCTATGCGCAAGTTTAGGGATAAATTATAATAGTCCTCATGCCCACATGCATGCAAACAAGAGTAATCCCGTGGTTTACAAAATGATAAAAAAAAAATCATATAGGAATCATATCATGAATATATCGCATATCAATTATAGCTTTACATAGGTGAAAGCGGGCACCATTAATCTGCATTTTAAGTCTAGGATTTTATTAGGATAGTCAGCAACAGTTGACAGTATAGAGGTTGAATATTTTTGGTTATGGGTGGCGCATCAAGTTCAGTTTAGCATCTATTGAATGCGGCATTTCTATGAATTTTTTATAAAAACTACATCTACTAAAACATCAATAAAAAAGGATTAAGGAAAGAACCAAGTCAAAGATGAGGAACTAAAAATATGGCATGATAAGGATATTAGGATGTAATTAAATTTGAAAGTAAACCCCCCACTATTTGTGTGGCTAATCTTAGACAAATAGCAACGCATTTCTCTAATGTTGTCACTAGCCTATACAAAATCAATCCCAAAATAGTCCATCAACTTCAAAATGTGATGTAAGGTTGATACTAATTTAGTCACTCGACCATACAAAATTGAAAATAATTTAGTTCGAGGGATCAGTTTCGACCAATTTTGTATAGTCCATGCTAAATTAGAAAAATGTGATCTCAACTAGCCACGTACAAATAGTCTTAGGACTATTTTTCGAATTTAAACCTAAGACTATTTAATTTTAAAATACTTCACAATTGTTGAAAGAAGTATAATCCACATTAATATTCTTCTTTATTGAATGAAGGTCCTCCACTAACTTTAATTGTTATAGTTAGCAGATATCATGAGTGGACAGGACATCACAACCTAACGGTAATGAAGTAAATGATAAACAATGAAACAAGGCTGATTTTGAATGTGTTGAAATCTTCTGACTTGTAACTCAAAATTACATCAGCCATGTTTGGGTAGAGCAACGAAGTTTTTAAATTTTTAATGAAAAAATTAAATATCCCAAAATGCTGCATGCATGAAAAGGTGCCTCTCATGTTCGCTTTGTGCTTTCCATATATGAGTATGCCTCATACAATAATGTCAATGTTTACGAAATAATGAAGATTAACTTCCAACATATGAGGTGGAATGCCCTTGGAGACAGCTAAAAAACATTTCATTCCATTATGAAAAGAACTCACAGTTTTAAGGAAAGCAGCAGTGCTTTTTCCTGGCCGAACAAGAGGAATTGAAGCACCTTGGCGTTTCAACTGTTCACTCACATCATCGGGATCTAATTGTAGAAAGGTATAATAATAGTTGAAGAAAGCTATCAGCAATATATTTGTTGGAAGATAAAAAGGACCTGTAAAAAGCTAACAAGGTAGGATCAAAAATCATTTGATAATTAATTTCTACATAAGTAACACTAAAATCTAAAATGACATGTCAAAAGTATGATGAATTGCCCTAAAGCTGGTTTTAACAAAAAGAAATAATATCTTTGCATACATTTTCCAATAAACAGTAAATGATTAAATTTTAATACAGCATTCATAAGCGTTGAAAGAACAGCAAAAAGTGTGAAAAGAAAACAAAAGATAACCATAACCAACTAGTTCATGCCAATAAAAAGCCAATTGAATAATAACTCTTCAGATATGCAATTTATAGCTATAGTTAAGCCCCACCTCCTGGATTTAAGGCAAGCGTAGCCTTTTTAAGAGCATCTAAACCAGTGAAACGTGCCAGAGTACCGGGCAAAGCTAAAGAAGATGTTGAAAATATGATAGGCATCACACCAGAACTATTCACCTGCAAAACAATTAAAGAACTATGAGAATGGTAACCATATATCTTGAGATACAGAAGACAAAACCTAGAGAAAAAACTATAAAGAACAGAAAATAATTAAAAAAAGAAGTAGAATACATTCAGTCTCTAAATAAGCCAAAATGGGCTCAGTCAACAGATAGTCCATATACTAATCATTTTTATCAGAAAATTAACCATCTTTGTCCTCACACAAGTGGTAAAAAAGCACTTATAAGTAAACACAAATAATAGAATGGAGATGCTAGACAATTAGAGTGATAATAATCAAGTAGCTGTAAAACTATTAATGACAAAGGAAAGACAGATTGTCTAAAAAGACGAAATCTAATTTATAATTAACTTTTATTTCAGATTTGGCATGCCTTGCAAAATATGAATCCACATGAACAGTGCCCAAGTATCTCATTAACGTAGCCAATAATGCGGACCATAGTCCATAACAAGCACTGTAGTCACTTTTCTTGGTGCCTACTGCCTTTATGGGCTCCTCAAAAATTAAGATTTAACTTCTAAGTCATCAGTAGAGCCAGCCAATATGAAACAGAAGTCTATGCCAGTATAGAGAGGAACACCATAGCAGTCAATCGGATTCTTAACAACTTACCTAAAATTTTAAGATAATGTTCATGTAATTAAGATAAAGTTTCAACTTAAACAACCTAAAGGCTTATTGAGATCAACAAAAATATCTAAAATTTTCCAACAGCCAAGTGCTCGATAATCTGAGATCAATAGAACAGAAGTTTCCATAGAAGAGCAAAAACACAGAGCTGATCTAAGCACGGATTTCTCATAAGAATCCAAGTGAATGCCCTACGAACAAAAACTCACAGAGATCCCTCATCCACTCTCCTCTTTTACATGCCTGGATCCTCTTTCTCATCCCACATTTAAAGTATGAAACTACTAGAATGCTATATTGGGCGGCAAAGAAAGAAGTGTGTGTATCTGGGTGGCAATCATTCAATAAATGGAGCTTTATGTGCATATTAAGCATATAAAATTTCCATTTGGTTTATTGCAAAATGATTCTAGTTACAACAAAGTTCATTTCAGATGAAAACTAGTGAAATAACAGAAACATCAAAGAATAATAAGAGAATATACTTGAGGTGTTTATTTCATTAAACTCAGTATGACGAGAAAATTAAGACAAATGTATTAAATTTGAAGAATTGGAACATCAACGCAGAATAGTTGCAAAGGTTAATATCTAAATCCCAAAAAATAAGCTAAATAAGCAATGAATAATGAAGTGAATAACCAAAACAAATTCTGAACGAGAAAAATATTGATGTAAACCTTAAAAGGTAGGTATGCAGCTTTTTGAAGGCCTCCACTTCTGCTGCTGTATCTTGAAGCATAATTAAGCGGTATTTTTCTCTCCGCTTCCTAAAATCCTGTGTTAGAAACTTAAAAAATGAAGATAGAGAAGCAAAAAATATAAAAGGAATAGTAATACCTGTACATACACAATACCAAGAACTAATACAAAGAATGAAATTACAATAGTAGTCAATCCAATGTAATTTCCATCCTGAAATGCCTGGGAGACTGTTCTTCCAAATGATGCAGGTAAGTATGATATAATACTCGTGAATATCAAAAGTGAAGTTCCATTTCCAAGTTTTAGGTCTGATATCTTCTCTCCAATATATGTAGTCAAAACTGATCCCACTGTCAATAACGTTACTGAAGATAACACCCATTTCATGCTGAAGTCATCGACGTAGGGACGTAGGTAAATTACTTGGCCAATAGCCTTGCAAACAAACAAGCATGGTATCAACACAGAAAACTTACAACCAATAAAAAATTTTATACTAGAAGTTCAACCATTAATGAAATTCTTGCTTTCTTTGAGGTAATAAGATTGGTCGCAGAAAACACTGTGACAATAATAGGCTCTAAACTTGTGATTCGCCATGCTAACAACTTAATAATAAATATAAAAAATTCTATTATTAGTGCCGAAGTATTAATAATTTTTTAGTCGAGTTTGGGTTAAAAATCTTAACCCGTTTAATTTCTCGAGTTGGGTTCAGATTCTTGCTAACTTGACAATGACCCACCCGGATTTGACTCGAGATTGACACGAATTTGGCCCGATTTTGACCAACATAGTTGTTATTATTTATATTAAATGGGTTATATGGCTCGATTTGGATTGACCAGTTGAAGAAGGCTCGTGTTACGATTGGACTTTATGACCCGTTTAATATTTGGGTCGGGTTCGAGTCAAGCAGTTTTGGCTCGAGTAGATTTCGGGCCAAATCAGAATCCGATCCACGAACTCGATTTGACACCCATAAACATAAGCAATAAGAACTATTCGGGTCGATTTTGAGTCAATTTTGAGTCAATTTCAAGTTGGCATATTGATTTTAGGTTAGCGGATTAGCTTTGACTCAATTTTGGGTTAGCGGATTAGTTTTTGGTCAAATTTGGGTTGTCGGGGCCACCCAAACCGACCCAAAAATTAAATGGATCAGGATTTCTCCCCGACCGAAAAAATCAATAGAGTCAATCCAAACCAGAATATTGAGTCGAGTTCGGATCAAGTTAGCGTGTTAGGTCATTCTTTGATCCCCCATGGAGAAGCATTAAATTTCTCTCCTACTTTTAAGTGAATTCCCTCCAAATGCAGTGAACATGATTTTCAAATCCCTAAGGAGTCACATGTTTCTCTGTCGAATTCATGGTTGGGTCAAAATATGTAATAGAGAGACAACATGATGCTGAAACTTCGGGCAAGAATTTTTAGGGCCAAGGCATACTTTATATAGAGACATTTATGACACATCGCAGCCAACACATGGAATTGAGCCTCCATATAGTAACTATTGTTCTTAAAGTAGTTACAGATTTTTGTTATTGAAGGCGATAAATGAGAATCTTGCTAAAATAATATACAAGTTATGCATATCATTACACTTGCTAAGTGGCACACATGGTATGAATATTTGCATGAAGCCAGCGATTGGCCTCATAAGATGATACACATTTTATAGACTGAAATGACACCTATTGAACAACACGGTATAGTAAATATGGATTTTAAGTCAGTCGTAATAAGAGTACTAACTACAGGATTTGACTACATGAAAAGAGGCAAATAATATATTTTTATTTTTTAATTTTTTTTTGCAGAAAAAAGATGCCATGTTCTATAAATTTTCTTCTCAACTTAGCAATTAAAAGACACTTCTTTCAAACAAAAGAGTCTATGGACTACATTGACACTTTTATAAACTATGAGACTAAAATATCCCTTGTAAAGAGTTAGAGGACCATTTTGACACTTTTCTCAAATAATAATGCAAAATTTACAACCCTAAAGCTATACATGGCTTGTTTATCAAAGAAAAAATAATATAGACCATCAGTATAAGAAAAAGTTCATGCAGAGAGAACATCATGCCCGTCACAAATTAAGTTCATGTCAATGAAATTCAATTAAACATATTAACTTTACAGGTATAAAGAATCATAGGGTACTGCATTAGGTGGTAAAATGAAAAAAAATTAAAGTAAAAACCATGATCTAGCTCAAACAACAAAGCATCTCACCTGCACCACCGCAAACCCAACCGATGCATACCGTGTGTATTGAAGGACTTTCTTCCTGCCAGCTTCTCCTTCCCTCTTTTGAAGTTCTTGCAACTTAGGGAAAACCTGTGTTAGAAGCTGAAATACAATCTGCGCGTTGATAAAAGGAACAATGCCGAGAGAACAGATTCCCAACCGACCAATGCCACCACCAGAAAGTGAATCCAAGGTGCTCAAAAGACTGTTCTGATCCAAGTTACCAACAAAGGCTTCTTGGTTGATTCCACCAATAGGTATATATATTCCAAGCCGAGACAAAGCTAAGTATCCTAACAACTTTAGGAACTTCCCAGGGAGGGGGCCTTTAAAAAAGTCACCAAGGTCAATCGAGCTGTCTTCAATTGCAGCTGCCAATGTAAAAAGAAACTGCGATGGATTTAAGATTATTACATTTGTTTAAGATCCTTAACTAATGCAGCTGATTTAGAACAGGGTTTCAGACGTTTAAAATTCAAGGTATTGTTGTAATCGATCAATTTGAATCGCAAAATACAAAATAAGTTTTTATTTTGTTCACTGAAAATAAATATGAAAAATGAAAAAGAGAGATTGACAAGCTTAGGGCTTGTTTGGGATCCCTTTTGTTTTTTATTATTTGCTTTTTTTTTCTACTTTTAAATTTAAAAATGTGTTTTTTTAGTGCATTATTATTATTTTTTTTTCAAAACTAGATTATTTTGACTGTATTTAAAAATAGCTAAACATGCTATAACATACCAAACATGTTTTATTTCAAAAAAAACACATAAAATAAAAAACGAAAAACAACAACAACAAAGCTTTAATCCCACTACGTGGGGTCGGCTACATGAATCCTTTGTTCTCCATTGCGTCGTATTTAGGAAAAAATATTACATCAGTACTACGCATGTAGAGTAATATGCGTAGCCAATAAAATAACGCCACGACACTCTGCACGATAGAGAAAAAAAAACGGCGCAGTAACACGGGGAATATTCCCCTCTGTGTTATTCATGTGTTATTGTGTATTATTCATGTGTTATTGTGTCATAGGAATATTCTTGGTGTTATGATAACACAATAACACATCAATAACACATGAATAACACACAATAACACATGAATAACACGGGGAAGAATATTCCCCGTGTTATTGTGCCGTTTTTTTCTCTATCGGGAATATTCCCCGTGTTATTCAAGTGTTATTGTGTGTTATTCATGTGTTATTGTATCATGAGAATATTCTTGGTGTTATAATAACACGATAACACATCAATAACACATGAATAACACGCAATAACACATGAATAACACGCAATAACACATGAATAACACGCAATAACACATGAATAACACGCAATAACACATGAATAACACGCAATAACACATGAATAACACGCAATAACACATGAATAACACGGGAGGGAATATTCTCCGTGTTACTGCGCCGTTTTTTTTCTCCTATTGCGCGTGGCGTGATTTTATTGGTTGCGCACGGTATTTCTACGTGCGTAGTACTGATGTAATATTTTTTCCGTATTTAGTGCATATTTTCATTTAGTTCTAATAAATTAAGATCATTTTTTATACAATAAGCCCAAGTCTTCCTAGGTCTACCTCTGCCTTTCTTAACATGAGTCGAATCTAAAACATCTACTCTCTTAATCAGATCATAAGATAGTCGACGTTTAATCTGCCAAATGATCTAAGACAACTTTCTCTAATTTTGTCCGTCACAAAAAGTGATCCCAAATGGTCCCTTAGTTTGTCAGATATTTACAAATCCACTTGAGAAAGAGTGCTGAAGGCATGCTAACTGGCATTCATTCTTAGCAGATGAAGTGGAGGGCCGCCCTAATGGTAGAAATCTTTGATGGCAAGCTCCCGGGTAGATAAGACAGCTATGAAATTAAGAGAACAGCAGCAGGTGTCCATTAATGGTTGGATCCACGAATCGCTGCCATGGATTGATGACTTGGCAAGGATCAATGGGGGGCACGATTTCTTGGCTGATTTAATAATTTTTAATGTAATTTCTTATATAATATTTCTCTTCCTTTCTCATTTAGGTGTGGTTTATTTCTCCTTGTTTTTACCATTGAAAAAAAATTATATAAATAGGGCCAATCCTTGGCCAAATAATTACAAAAAATTATTTCTCAAATTTTCAAACCTATTTCTTTTTTATTCATTTTCTTTCAATGAAATTGCTCAATCACTAGTGGAATTACAATTTCCTGTACGTAATCTTCCTTGAACACCAACCTTACAGCGCCAAACCCAATTTAGAGGCAGAAAGTATAAGAACAATAAATTTAAAGGTGGGAGTTATTTGATTATGAACCATACTCTTTCATTAAATCCATGGACAGTGAACATTCCTCACAGCACGTCATTCAACTTACTAAAATCTCAATAAATCTAAAACTTCCTTACCATCTTCTTAGTACATCCAACTTGCGGAAGCCACACCAAAAATAAAAACACCATTTTCGCCTTGTTAATTCGCCCAATCTATATAGAATGAGCTTCATGTCATGCTAAGTGGTTGGAAGAAAAATCAAAAAGGGAAGCTACAACATATCTCAGCATGCACAAGAACCCAAATCTATTTTATGAACCAAGGAAGTATAAATAAGAGAGAAGAAATCCGTAAGTTATGATACTCACTACCATATTGACTTAAGAAATGGGGTAAGGTTAAAATACCTAATCTATAATTTCATGTCTTATGAAGACATTCACTTAAAGTTCATGCTTTTGACACTTATCTTGAAAAAATACAGATTCCAAATAAGGTTATGAAGCTCTCGAATGAGTGTACAAAAGATAAAATTAATGACAACTAGACCTTAGGAAAGATTGGTGCATAAGAAGCTATTGAACTTCCACCAATAAAATCTATCGGATGCAAATGGATTTTTGCAGTCAAATATACATCAGATGCGGGCATGGATAAATTTAAAGCCCTACTAGTTGCAAAGAAAAGCACCCAATCATATAATTGACCATCAAGAAATTTTCTCTCTCATTGTCAAACTTAACACAGGTTGAGTTTTACTTTCTTTGATATTTATTGTATCTTCTACATCAACTTGATAGTAAGATTTTTTTTTTTTTCTTAACAAAGAACCAGAGTAACATGGAGATCCCACCTAGATTAAAAAAACAGAGAAACATCAATAAGTTATGCAAACTCAAAAAAGCATCATACAGCATCAAAAAACCCCCTCGTGCCCAATTTGACAAGTGTGGGTATACTAAGTGTCAAGCCAATCACACTATCTTTATCAAGCTCTCACCCAGAGAAAGTAGTATTAACTATCCCACTTATGTGTAGGCAATAATATATTTAAAGGTGATTTTAAAGAAGAATTAGACAGATTAAAACAATTTCTGAAAAAAGAATTTAAAGTAAATAAAGTTGGCAAATCTAAAATGACTTCTTGTTATGGAAGGGCACAAAAAAAAGGTATTGCTATTTCCCAATGGATATATAATTAACTTCAAGAAATGAAAATGAATAATAAAATGTAGAAACTTAAATAAATTAAACAAAGAAAATCAAATAACCAAAAACAACACACTCATCAATAAACATAGATATCAATGCAGTGGGATAAATCATCTACCTCTCTCTTGCATCTCCTAATTTAGGATTAAAGTTAGTATGTAGGCCAATGCATGAACAACCCTATAAAAAATTATATGAAAGATGCTAACAGCATTCTAAAATACATCAAAATGGCACCAAGGAAAGGCCAGCTATACAAACAAGTCTTTTAACAAATAAATAAAAATTTTCACAGAGGAACATCATATTAAAGATCCACCTTTGGCTATAATACTTAAATATGGAGAAACCTAATTTTAGAGAAGAAACACCTTATAGTCTCTAGAAGCAATATTGAATCAAAATATAGGACAATAGCACTTGGTATTTGTGAAAGAATGCAGTTAAAAAGCTGGTTAAAAAGCTAAATTGTCAAATGAATAAAATCCCTAAAATTCTACATTTGCAATCAAGCTACCAAAAAAATGGCAAAAAACCTGCCCACCATGGTAGGAGAAAAAAATAAGATATGTTGACATTTTATATAAGAAAGAAATTAAAAATGGTCTAGTCCAACTAAATCATCTTCTAAAAAACTCTCAATTTGCAAAAATCCTCATTTTGGTTTTTTCCTAGTCCAACTTCTTTTTTGTTTTTTAATATAGAACAAGAAAAAAAATATCAATTATAAAATTTCCCATTTCTACACCTCTCTTCTCATTCTAATATTCAAGAAGCACATATAATAATCTTGCATTATATCCTCATTTCCTCCTCTCCATATCATCTTCAATCAACCAAGACTTTTAATAAACTAGAGCCTATTTGACATTTTATGTTAACGTTTCATGATTAACTTTCATGAATAAAACTTTCATGACATTTCAAATATTTTGAAAGTTTTGTGTTGACTCATTAAATGGAGCCTTACTTAACTGACAAAATTAGAAAGGAATAACTTCCAATTAACTTCCAAATTCAGTTCTTATTTTACGTTTTGCTAGCTTCTGACACCAATTTAGGATTCCTGCAGTGTATAAGGATCAAGGAGAGAGATGAGGAGGTTTTAGGATAATAATAATAAAGAGCAAAAATTAGGGAGAGACTAGTCTTGAAAAGGAGAAATAGGAAGTGAGGACAACTGCTCTTTTAGATAAAATAAGCAGCTAGTAAAGGCACCGGCGACAATCAAAAGGGATTGAAACATCAAGAAGGATCCATCACTTATTCTCAATTAAGTTACAGTCACAACACCTGAAAGAACATATAATACAATAGTCAAAAGAAGAAAAATAAGAAGAAAATCTCCAATAACATAAAAAAAAACAAAACTTTCCTACAATCTCTAAAGAACCTATTTATATTTAAATCAGTATAAGCGAAACTAATTCTAATTAAAGCAAGTAAATAGGAGCCCTAGGTGACCGACCCTCCCTTGACCGGGAAAATTGAACCAGGTCAGGTTGGGACAGACACAAGGCCTGCACATCCTTGTTCTCATGATTTGGGTGTTCATGTTAACCCCATATGCATATTCTGTCTTAAATCAACATTTTATTAGCATTCGTTAGCTAATTAATTTTTATGGTTTAAAAAATAAAATAACTAGAGAAAAAATATAATCAGATTAATTAGGAGTTGTCACTTCAAGATAAACATAATTGATTCTTGAATAAAATCATCATTGATAGTATACTCAATATAACAATATTTCATATGTTCAAAGACAGTACAATATATTATCTGGCTAAAGCATATACTAAAATTTGCTCATGTAATTCCATTAATCGAAATTTTTCTAGCATTCCAAATACAGTAAGCAAACACATACTTCAAATAAATTTATAAGTTCTCAACAAACCTGCTACTCCTCTATTTGATGATAACTCTTTCTTTGTATTAGATGTACTTTCAAAAGTTTGCGTAAATAATTGCAGAAAACTATCCCATGCGTCACCTAAACTTGAAGATGTCTCAGGGTTCAAACCCAAAGGATCAAAAGTGGTTATAGTAGGCTGTAAGCATCTGAGAAAAAAAAAAGCCAATAAGCAGAAATAATAAAAAAAGATATTTAACAGGAAAATCCTGAATTTAACAGAAACAATCCTAGAAAATAATTGAGGCTAAACATAAGAAGGTTAAGTTTACTTGGCATAACATCATTCAAAGGGTGAATAGACATATATTATTATCATCTAAAGATAGTTTAATTTTGTAGAAGAATTTCTAAGGAGATCAATTAGTAGCCTCATTTGGTTTTATTAGATCTTGTAAGAGTGCAAATTCTAATGAGATTGTAAGGTGACTTGAGCATTATTTTGGTTTTGTTTGATTAAGGAGCCATTTGGGTGCAAGAATTTATAGCGTAAACTAAATCAAATGTAGAGGTTTTGTATTTTCAGGTGGTTGGTTCGAAGAAAAACTGATACAATTTAAAATTTTGAGGTAATTAGAATTTTTGGCTAATTACATTTCCAATGAATTTTAAAATGCATTAAAAATGTAAAGCTTAGCCTGCCGCGGTCTACAATCAACCGCCAACAGCTGTCACTAGCCGCAACTCATCAGTCGTCACCCTCGCCGCCACTATCATCTATTGCCAATTGCCGCTCATCAACACTACAATTATTAGAAATACTTTGCAAACAAATAAATACAAAGAAGTAAACTGCTAAAATTCTTTTTACAAACAATCAAACAACGACAAAGTATTACAAATACATCTTTAATTTTACATGGTATATAAATACTTAGGAATTCCAATTCCAATTTTTTGCAAACAAACAACCGCAAATTTTGGATTGTTCTTTTAAGGGAAACCCACGAGATGTTGCTCGTCGTATTTTCATAGCCATCAAGGTAATGCCTTAATTTCTTCTTCAAATATTTGGGTTTAATTATCCTTTCCATGGTCATGGCTGTTTGTCAAGATTTGGAACTTTGTTTTCAAAATGCCATTTCTCCAATTGTCACAGAAGCAGACGCAATGTTTTTAAAGGGCACTTTACCTTGGAACAAAATTGGAGAATAGACATCCTTCTATTAATTCAGAACTACTAAAAAAACTTATTCTAAAATTAGCAGCTAGCTGTGTTCATAAATACAGAAAGGCAATATCGTGCCAGATTGGCTTGCAAGGAATTCATGAGAAAAAATGTCAATGTTTTGAGTAAATGGGTTGAATGAATTTTTCCTTTACTTTCATTCTAATAAATAATAGTCTGTACAATCTATTTTAGGTACATAATAAAGTGTACAATATATTTAGTTAGCTTAATAATATATATTCATAATCTAAATATTCAGCTAAAGGGAAAAGATCTGTGCAATTAAAATAAGAAATTTAATGCAGCAATGCAAAGAAGGAAACTCTTAACTCTGTCCGATTTCATTTACTCCTAATTGATACCCCCTCAAATTGATGTTGGCTAATCAAGAAGCATCAATTTGTCAACAAAGAAATGATGACTCTTCCAAGAGAGGTTCATAGTAAATATGTCGGTTGTTTGAAGATCATACGAGATATAAGAAAGAGAAATAACATCATTATCATAGGCTTCACGACTAGAATGGCAGTCCACTTTAATGTGTTTCGTGCGCTCATGAAAGACAGGATTAGCAGTAATTTGGATAGCACTAATATTATCTGCATAAAGAGAAGTAGATTCAATTTGAGGAAAACCAAGCTCAGCCAACAAATCCCGAAGCCAAGTTATCTCAGAACAATCCGAGAACAAAGCGCGATATTCAGACTCAGTAGATGGCTTAAACACTCGATTTTGTTTCTTACTCTTTCAAGAAATTAAAGAGTTGCCAAGAGACAAACACCAGCCATTAATATAACGACGTGTATCAGAACAACCAGCCCAATCAACATCATTATAGGTTGTTAAGTGAATAGGAGACTCTACTGAAAGAACAAGTGACGATGAAAATTACATTTCAAATACCTAACAATAAGTCGAACTACAGCTAACTAAATATGTGTTGGTGTCTGCATAAATTGACTAACTTGTTGCACAACAAATGCAATATTAGGACATGTGATGGTTAGATAATTGAGAATCCTAACAGGTTGTCGATACAGAGATAGATCAGAGAGGAAGTCACCATCATTCCGTTTGACACTTAAAATTCACTTCCAAAGGAGTATCAAGAGGACAACCCTCTTGAAGCCCAGTCAAAGCCATGAGTTCCTTAGTATAGTTATTCTGGTGAAAAAAAATACCCATGGAAGAAGAGTGAACCTCAAGACCTAAGAAATAAGATAAAGATTCCAAATCCTTCATATGAAAAGAACCCTAAAGACGCTTCTGTAATTGAGACATCAATTAAGTATCAGATCCTATGATGAAAATATCATAAACATAGACTAATAATATCACAATTCTCTTGTCAGTTTTGCAAAGAAATAATGAAGAATCATAATGACTTTGAATAAAAGAGAAGCTAAAAAGAGTATTACGAAACTTTTCAATCCAGGTTCGTGGAGCTTGTTTCAAACCGTATAGAGATTGTTTGAACTTACAAACATCTTATAAGGGTGTAGATAACAAGCCTGGAGGAGGAGTTATATAGATATCTTCTTTGAGGTCCCCTTACAAAAAAGCATTCTTAACATTCATTTGTCGTAAGGACCACCTGTTAGATGCAACAATAGATAGAATAAGTCGGACATTTGTCATTTTAGCCGAAGGTGCAAAGGTTTCTTCATAATCAATCTCATATTCCTATCAATTTCCAGAGCTACCAATCTTGTCTCATATCTGTCAAGGGAGCCATCAGATCGGAGTTTAAGAGAATAAACTCGTTTACAGTCAATGGGTTTAACACCTGCAGGACATGAAACAATATCCCAAGTGTGATTGTCTTAAAGTGCCTGAAGTTCCCCTTGCATGGCTTTTATCCAATAATTCAGTTTAGCAACCTGAGAATAAGATGTAGGAACAATATTATTAGTTAAAATTACTAAATAAACATATTTATTCGGAGGACGAATGTGCCGAGTTGATCGCCGAAGAATCATTGGAACATTTTCAGGAGCAGGCGACTGGAGATGAAGGGGCTAGACGTCGCGTGTAAACAAAGTCAGGCTTAAATCGTTTATCAAAAGAACAATCTTCAAATTGAGGAATTTTAACAGTATCAGATGTCGAAAGATGATGCTGAAAATCATATTCATATTTAGAGAAAATCAAATCCCGAAAAATACGTTATCGATTATTAATCAAATCATAACACGATATTTATGAATAGGACTGTAATCTATAAAGGCACATCGAACAGACTGCGCCCTTAACTTATGTCGTTCACGGGCAAGTAAATGAACAAACCACACACATTCGAAGTGCATAGCATATGATAATTAGGATGTTTACAAAAAATTAGATAATGGGCAGAATCAAACTTCAATTGTTGAGATGACAAGCAATTAATCAGATAGACTGCAATAGAGAAAGCATCTGCCCAAAATTTAGTTGGAACAGAAGATTCTAACAGCAATGTGCATACCACATCCAGCAAATGACGATTTTTCCGTTCTGCAACTCCATTTTGCTAGGGTGTGTAAGGACATAAACGTTGTCAGACAATGCCCTTGCTATGAAGAAATGTTTGAAACTCATGAGACAAGTATTTACCACCATTGTCGGTCCATAAGGTATTAATACAAGTGAAAACCTGAGTGTCAATGTAGGTCACAAAGGTTTGATACAAGTGAAAACATGAGTGTCAATATAGGTCACAAAGGTTTGAAACACGGTAAACACTTCTGCTTTGGAATGTAAAAAATAGATCCATATGAATCGGTTATAATAGTCAATAAATATCACAAAATATTTATATTGAGTAAGTGAAATAACCGATGTAATTCCCCAAACATCACTATGAATAATGTCAAAAAAATTATTGGCACGACTGTCCAAAATAGGAAAAGACAATTTCTTACTTTTGTCCAGTTTGCAGGAAGAACAATCCACTAGTAAGCTTTTATCTGTATGACCAAAAACATCACTTTGTAATAAATGATTCAAAATAACATTGTTTGGATGCCCTAATCTTCTATGCCAGATACCAGTTTTATTTTCAATAACTGCAAAAGCTAATGCCAAAGTTTGGGGGATAGAAAGTTGAAATGAAAATAACCTGTTCACTTTAGGCCCATTCGCTATCACTTTCCCTGACACCTGATCTTGCACATTACAATTATCATGAGAAAAGTGTATGTCACAATTATTATCCACCACTTGACCAATAAAAAGTAAGTTTGTAGATAATTGACCAACAGAAAGTAAGTTTGTAGATAATTTAGGAGAAACCAAGACATGTTGAAAAGTTGAGCTAATATCACTAACTGTCGTAATCGGAATATTATTTACATCTGCAACATGAATACGTTGAGTACAAGTATAAAAGCATTGATTATGTAATAAATCAGATATGTGAGTCATATGATTTGTGGCGCCAGAATCAACAAACCAAAAGAAAGCTATAGAAGTAATAGTCTTACATTTTCCTTGAAGGCCAAGTGCAGTAAAGGTAAAGAGAATCATCTGTTGAACCATTTTTGGTGAGAACATATTGATTTTTGTCGGCAACTGTGGATGTCGAAGCAGGATTGCGAGAGTGGGATACCTCAGCATGAAGGGCTTGTGGTTTACAATTTTATGGTTGTGCAGAACACTCCTTAATAATATGTCTGTGTTTCTTACAATAATTGCAGAATTTCTTACTACAATGACGAGCAATATGACCAAATTGTTTGCAGTTGTAACACTGCCTTCTTTCCTTTCCTCGGGTTTGACCAACATATGCAACATTGATTATTTCTGATGATCCACCAGTTGCACCGATAGTGGCTTGTGTCGTCAATCTTTGTTCTTAACATAGTAATTCACCGAAACATACATCCAAACAAAGAGCCAGATCTTTATTGAGCATCCTAACCAGTAGTTTCAAATTTAGGTCTAAGTTTCATAAAAAATAGATCGCAACGACTCACTTCATGAATAGCCTAAAGACTAGCT